ACTGGCGTCTTCGTTGGTGCCAGTCCAGTGTGCATCCCTGGCACCCCGCGCTGTAAGACAAATGCAAATGCAAAAGCATCCCTATGACTCCAAGGGTGACACACACACATATATATATATACACATACACATTTAGTATATATTATTATATATTAATTTTCTTTGCTGGTCCCAGTGCTTGCGAAAAAAACACCCATAGAGAAGTGAGTAATCGCACAAGATAGACCCATAGAGAAGTGAGTAATCACTTTGTGCTAGCGAAACTGTATTGGAATAGGACCTGTGCATTGTGCATTCAATTTCCGCGATCTACTGAGATTAGATTCGACTCTTCACTTCTTTGTGCCCCCAGATGAATCCCCCCGCTTTGCTTTGTGCTTTGGCTGCTGCTGGTTTGCCTGCTGGTTTGCTGCTGATGCTGCTGACAGTCTGACAGTCTTTTGGTTTGCTGCTGCTGGTGCTCTGGTGCTGCTGCTGGTTTGCGTACGGCGTATTGTTCATTGTGCCGGCGCTGCGGGTTCCAAATCTGCGCCGCACTGATACACCGATACACCATGGGATATCGGCGTATTGGCGGCGCACCGATATCCCCCTCGATATCGGAATATCGGCGTGTCGCCGTATCAGCGCCGCGCACTTAAAACCCGCCATGCCGGCACGCTGTGATTGTTTGCTCCAGCTCTGAAGCTGGTCATTCTGCTGAGTGAGACCATCAAGATCTTTGCCCTGTTGCTTGAACCGCAACGTGACTCCAGCTGCCCATGTGGAAAAAAATGCGATTAACACCCCAAGCCCCAAACCAATGAGGAAACTTTCGATTGGTACTATTGCAGTTTCTGGCGTACCTAAACTCAAACTTTCCGATGCGCAAGGTGACAGGGTGAACCGCCATGCTGACGAGCCAGGCACAAATGTAGAGGGCTCTGCCATGTACTACCGAGGCACCATTTGATGCAAGTTGCCTGGTTTATAGAGATTATTGTAAATATACTTCGACAACATCACTCAATCCACAGCATCTATCTCAGATCTATTCATTGATACAGTAACCCTTCTTTGTCCCTTTGTCCCTGTGTTGTATCGCATCAGGGCGCGCGGCCCGGATGCGGCGGTTGCCCAATTCCCTGGGCGTGCTAGCCGAGGCTGAAGGTGAGCAGTGACAATCAAATGTAGAGGTCAGTGCTGAGAAATAAAGAACTCAGAACAAAATGAAGGAACCAACGACATTTGAGGATGTAGTTCGAGCTTTGGTCAAGTTCTGCTGCGTCCCAGTCTTGTGATGGCTGGATAAAGAGAGCCGAGATGCGTTTCTTTCATGCATGCAATCCTGCAGGCCCTGATGGCCAATGGGCTGAGCGGGCATGAGCTGAGCCACAGAACGAAAAATGGGCAGAGCTTGTTGCGGCGCGCGCGCGAGAGAGAGAGAGAGAGGGAGGGAGGGAGGGAGGTGCCCGGGAGAGGGGGAGAATGAGAAAGAGCAGAGCAAACATTCGCAAGAAACACATCAGAATGGATTTGATCTTGGATCGTCTTGTCTGCGTTTGTCGATGAACCCGCAGCAACAGTGCATCCATCTCAGCCGTTGTCCTTTGAAGTTTGTGGCAGGCTCCTGCCTGTGACATGGCGCTGTTTTCTGAAGTTTTTGGAGCGTTCATTCAGTAAGTTCCCCTTGGGGCAATAGCTTATGGATGCTTATGGCTTATGGTCTTATTATGTCTTGTTATATTCAAACACAAGATATATAGAGAGGAGAGGTCAATTTTTTATCATTTAAGAAAAGGGCCTGTGGCTCTTGATTCTTTCTCCAAGTTGTGAGCACATTGCTTGCCGGAGAGAATTCGTTTTGATTGTGGGTTCTGGACATTGCCCACACGAGATGTCAGCAATGCATAGCAATGCGATTTTTGCCAGCCCAAGGTACTTTCGTATGTTGAGGCTGCTCTCAGCTTGGGGCATTTATGCTTTTGCCTCGGTTGTGGAAGTAGAAGTTGATGACCGCGCTGAGATTCAGGGACTCTTGGCAGCGCTTGGTCTCCGCATTCTCTTCGCAGCAAGCTGTTAGGAAGAATTATAAGTGTAACTAAGCACTCAGTGCTGTCACTGGGGTGCGTTGAACGAGGAACTAGATCAATCCCGAGCTCATTCACTGAGAAGGAGTTGCTGAAGGAGAGCGTTAAGTGCCCGGTGACTAGGCAAAAAGCTGGCAGAGTCAGAGAGCGACAGAGACAGACAGACAGACCAGACCAGACCAGGCCAGACCGGACCGGACAGGACAGGACATGACAGACCAGACCAGACCAGACAGACAGACAGACAGTTCCAATGCACGTACATATGCATTCAGATAGACTACAAGGATCTACAAGGAATTGTTTGCAGTGAGGTGAGTGACCTGGTTGCGTTGGGAACGAGCTGCTCGTGTGAGGGCACCGACTGCGGAGAGGGGAAGCTAAGAATGCAAGTTCTCTGGGACTGGCAAGAAGGAAGGGCACAATAGGAAACATGAGATTGGCCCTTAGCAAGCGATGTATCCATTTACTGCCTTCGTGAAAGGTGCCTAGAGCAATAACCTTGGACCTAAGAAAAGCGCCCCGCAGAAAGCTTGTAGGCCCGAGCAGGTCCTCGCAGGATTCTGATTCTCCAGTCCCCCGCGGAAAACGGAGACCTGAGATTTACTCCAAAGGTGATGAGTCTTTTGGTTTGACTCGACATCATGGCACCTGCTTTCTCTTCGGCTGACTTCATCAGACCTGGGAGCTTTTCCGAAAACGCTGATGCACACTTCGACTCCACCTGGCCCATGCATATTCTCAAGTGTTTATATATATATATATATCTCTCTCTCTCTCTCCCTCTCTCTCTGCAGAGCCTGGCCACCGGCCTATCTATACAGTACACTGATCCTGTTGTGATTCAAGATCAAGATGTGAAGGCTCGAGGATTTGAGCAGCATTTGTTGTTTTACGTTATTGGTTTGTTCTAGTTATGACTTTGTTGAGTCTCAGGAAATATTGCTTTGGGGAGAAGCCGACTTGCCAAGACAAGCCCAGGATGCTGGGAGTGTGGGCAAGGGTGCGTGCTGTTCCTTTTTGAAGTTCAACCAAGGGTCGGTCAGGGTAGTTTTTTGTAATATGCAGTCGCTGCGCCTATCCAATGTGATGTGAAACACACACATATAGTAAATACAATAGACACCAAATGACCTTGTGCTCACGGAGATGCAGCTTTCTGATAGCTGGCAATTGTCGACTTGCAAGACTGGAAAAGGTGTTTGGTATTGCTCGCGCATACCGCATACTTGCAGGCAGGACCCTTCGTTGCTGGACTGGCATGGCAAGACTGCCAAGGGTCCGCACGATGGAAAGGACAAAGGTCAAATCGCTGGAAGAGAATTCAAGTTCTACAAGAAGTCCGAAGCTGTAAACAGATTGGGTTGGAAAAGTGGGGGTTGCATTGGGACACCCAAAATGTTTTGGTCAGTAATTTGATTTGGTGTTTGGATGTGTACCTCATAATGCTCGAGCCCACTGCAACGTCTCAGGAAAAAAGTGGCCTCAGGCTCTTCTACTCGGACAACTTGAGAGTGTACTGTCATAGCCAACCTAGCGGTGCTAGCAGTGCCATGGCTGGCAGAACAGCCGCAACACTGGCACTGTAGAACCCATGATACGGAGCGAGGGCCAAGATGCCGCCACCTTTGACCACGGAAATATAATTAGCAAAGTTGGTTATCTATAATGTTTATGTACATATCTAAATAAATATATATATATATAACTAGTTGAACTTTGCCAATTTGAGAGGCAAGACCTGAAAAGCCATGCAAGCCCATTGTTAGGTTCCCTTGGTCCATTTGTCCGGTCAATTTCTTGACTTCGAAGCCGCGGGCATTTGGGTAGGTGCTTTTTGTTCCCTTCCTTGTGTCCCACCCCCGTGCACAAAATCATCATCTCACAGGTCGTTTGGTTGCCCCGCTCTATCGCATCTCACACCTTCTCTCATCCCAGCTCCTTGCCGCGCCTTTGCTCTTGGAATCTCCTCCCTTGTTGTCTCACCACAGCAGCTCTCTTTTTCTTTTGCCTCGGAGTGCCAGATCTATATATTTACTGTATGTTTCTTCATCTCCTCGGCCCCTCAGCTGAGTCCTGAGTCTGAGCCCTTGTTCCCACCCAGCTCAATTTCCATTTCACATGTCGATGAATCTCATCAGAGCTTGCCTTGGCACCTCGATGCTCATTCAGAGAATGACTTAGAGCTAGGATTTCCCAGCATGCTTTGAAGAGGATGCCCTCTTCAGATGACTCAGCAGTGCTCCAATGATCTCAATTTCCTGAAACCGGCCGTTCAGTTCATTTTGGCCCATCCTGGCTTGTCTTATGCCGTTTCCCCGCTCTGTCCTTTGCGTCTCATATCACCGCAGAGTAGTTCACCCATGCTCACCCCCCTTAGTGCATGCTGCATCTTGCATCCTTCAAGTCCGTTAGTCAAAATAAAAGAGACACGAGGACCGTAAAGGATCGTAAAGGGCCTTTTAAATCAGGCCTTCACACTAACGAGGTCCTTTACCTTCTTTTTTTTTTTCTCCTCCTCATTTGCTAACGGACCTCAGACAGGTTGGCAATGGGCAATGTTGGCCCACCATACATGATGAACAGTGCGCAACCGATTAATTGATACGACAATTTTTCCTGTTTGGTGAGGCTGGGAGATCATGATCGATGGCCAGCCCTGCCCAAGTGGAGGTATTTATGGAGCTTACCATGTGCATCGGATTGAAAACCCGCACCGCATTAACGGTTGGGGAGGCTATTGCAAAGGAGTTGGCAGCTCGGCTGAGCAGCGCAAACAAAAGCCTGAGCATTCAGTCCGCGTGTTAATTAGGATGCCAGATCAGATCTCCAGCACTTCCATACTGCCGGGCAATGTTGTTACCGACTGCCGTATGGGTTGGTGCATATGCAGATGTGGCAGAACGATTCGGAAGAAACGATGCCAGTAAGGGAGTGCAACAGGGTTGACGAGCAACATGCCTCATGCATCCTCATGCTTCATGCAGGATTCGTTCGTAATAAATCACGACAGCTTGGTCTGTACTTTAGTGAGATTGATCAGATACCTCAGCTGCCAGGAAAAGGAGAGCACACGGTTTCTGTGCACGTACGGCCAACTCCTGGGAGCCTGAGCTGAAACGACAGCGAAAACTGAGCATGCCTGGGCATAGGGCGCCAGACGTGGGAACTTACCTTGGGAACCATGGGGGTATATAAGTGCTGTGATTGGCCACCGCCCGGGCTTCAGGTATGAAGCTGCTTATCGACATGATGCCTTTACTGGCTGGCAAGGGTGGGGAAGTGGCGGTGCTTCTTGGCATTTGGAGGCGCAAGAGGCCAGGAGAGCAATCCATTCAAATCCCCGTTTCCGACTTGCTTTGTGCACAGGCCTTGCACGTTTTTGCACCCGGTGTGATACTTGCTTTAATTCCAGATCTTCTTGCAGGTGCCCGAGGACTACCCCTTTTACCACTATGTGGAAGGCACCGCTATGCTCAAACAGTGGCTTTGTCCGTTGTCCTTAACCCAAACGCAGACTAAGACCATGCTGTGACCAAGCCAAAGCCTCTACTAGTAGTACGACATCGGCGAATGCATTCCGTGTAGGCCGCTTAGCGGATGGAAGAGATGGTGGTGTCGTTCCTTAGAAGAATCCTGCTGAAAACCATTGTTTTGCATGGCCAGCCAGGCAGATGTGCAGGGCCAAAAGGTAGGTCTCGGAGTCTCAACTTGATAGTACACAATGAGTCCACCGGAGTGTCATGATTTTTGGTGCTGCCAGGTGGCAAGTAATCACTAAACATATTTGCACAAACGTACTTGAAGTGCGCGCCTTGAGGTTAATGGCCGTGTACTGAACTTCAACAAGCAGTTGGCGGACAGGGTGTCAGATGTCGAAGTGTGTCTATTGTGTGTATACAGCACGTTGCTAGGCTGCGTTCTTAACCCAGCCACGGGCCGAATCAGGACAGCCGGCTGCGGCTTTTCTACTCTGACAACCTTCGAATTCATGGCCGTCCCCACAAGAGTGGCGCGTGTCGATGGCATTTGCGAATTGATGGACAGATGTGTGGAAGCGGTGCAATCACTGGAGACACTGAGATTGCGATTGTGGTGCAATGCAAGGGAGGGAAGGGGAGAGGAGCAAAGGGAAGGGGGAAGGAAGGAAAGAAGAAAGGAAGGCAGGCCGGCATTCGTGTTGCAGGTTTGATTCCAGCCAAGGATGTGTATGGGCATGCGCCTGACAATGTACACCGCCAGAGGAGTTTCATGGGCTATTGTGACAACGTCCCGGCCGGACAGCACAAGGTACCGAGACCGAGCATCATCCTGCATTCTGTTGGAAGTGTTTCAAGGGATGCGGTGCAACATGTTGCAACAAGGTTTTGATTAGTTCGGGCTATTCAGAATCAATGGTGGCTCCGATTTGGATGGCCGTGTTTTTCATGGCGCCGCTGAGCTGAGGTTGATGTGCACATTGAAGCGATTCATCATCATTGGGTTTGTGATGCCTTTACCGGGTGGAATTCCAACTTTCTCCTTGAGGCCGAAGAAATCCCCAAGGAGTACCAAATGGCTGGGGCCTCATTTTGAGCGGCACAGTCCATGTGTCACGTGTCCTTCCATCAGCATCAAGCAAGAATCAGAGAGTCCTTATCCGCTCGTCCGTCGTCAGGGTTGTCTTAAAGCTTTGCCTTTTTCCATTCTCCTAGGAATATTTAGCACAGTGCTTTTCGAAACTTGCTGTGGCTGGAGTGGGCTTAGGTGAAGGTTCACATGAGCCACAACGCGGATGGAAGGGACTCTGGTGCCATTGGTGCATACCGGATTTCTTTCACAAAAAACCATGCAGACACAAGGCTTCGGCTATTCTACTCTGATAACTTGAGAGCTCTTAGCGGCGCCCACGACTGTGCTTGCAAATGGGAAATCCTGGTGGATGGGAACCAGTGCCCCAGCGTGGAAATTTTTGGCCAGGCAGCATGGTCAGCACAAAGCTTTCCTCACAGACAGACCCCCAAAGCGCAAGCGCCCTTTGTCCGAGACAAAGACCAAAACAATCATCAGTTTTGCAATGATTGCAATGTGCGTCGCCAAATGAGGTTTATGTTCGCCGCCATCATGCGGGCAACGTGCACGACACCAACCCACACCGTCCTCGCAGCTTCGCTGGGTTCTGCGATGGAGTGACGAAGGGCGATCACGTTGCCATTGTCAATGTCAAGCAGCAAGGGCCCGCATGTGATTGCTACACACTGTGGCACCCCAGGCGAGGGGCCAACACGCCCGACCAAGCAGATTCAGGATCAACATCAATGTCTTGACCTGAAATGAAACTTTTCACCGTTCTCAGCACCACTAGCACCGGAACGGAAGGGTAAGGATGATTTGGGTGGCTGTGATTATATATATATATATATTATATTGCTTTTCAATCTGCATTGCAAGTCTTGCCGTTTTGGTTCTACCAAACGCTGCAACCCTGTCAGTGCGAACCGCAAGGGTTCCCATGGCGCCTTGGAAGTGCACGAGTTCTTCAAGCCTTGCTCATCACTTACGAAGAGCGAATGCAAAGAGCCTAGATGTGTTGTCAACAGCGAGGATGCGGGGCGAAAGCATAGCCCATGTGCATGCCCAGTCGTGTTGGCACAAGCTTTCACAATCGCTCTCTGTTTGCTGAAAGCATGCGTTCTTGTGTTGGGCGCCGAAGTCAGCCATTGACATATTTCACATTCTTGCCGTTGAAAATGATCTCTGAAAAACAGCAATGTTTTGAACTGACTGCCAGGACAAGGGATGAAGATAGTCACGGTGACGTAACTGCTACATTATATCATTGTGTGAATGCCACCAAATGTTGGTTTGACCTGCTCCTCATCGCATCCCAAGTTGTGAACATCCACCTTGCTCACCTTGCTTGCTCATTTTTCACTTCCCTCATCTTCCGTCTCTTTTGTTACCATTCCGCCACTTGAGACCCCACCTTACCCTCAATCCACTCCAGCCATTTTTGCCGAGTGTCTCGGGGTCTCCTTGTGTCTCCTTGTCAGGAGGATCGATGCTCAGACCTAATTCCATGCCCTGGCCATGACAAAGTAGCAGTGGGCTCTGCTTGCCAATGTGGAAAGGAAGCAGCTGCCAAAGGGAAGTTCTGTGCCTTGGACGCCTTGAGCAAGCCATAGTCAAGCTTGCTGCACCTGAAAGCGTAGAACAAATACAATACAACGGTCCAGAAATTGTGGTGTTGCTAGTCGCTGCCTGTCCATACTCCAATTCTTGTTGGCAATTGGCCATTTGATTTAAGTGCCCTTGTTTTCTTGTTTCTTTTTCTTTCCCAGGCTATGAAGACAAGACAGTGCATGATGGGCCTAAAGAGGAGAAAAGCGATGCTTTGGGTGCTATGGCTCAAACTTTGCAAGGAACGGATGGGAAGTTGCGCAACGGTCAACCGCGCGCCCATGCTGTTTCCGAAACCGTGACCGTGGAAGGTGATCCGCTTGGAACTCCAAACGCTGGTCCGCTCGGAATCCCCTTTACCTCGCCTGGATTTTTTTGCGGTGCACTCCTCCGACTCACCAACATGGAAGTGGAAAACCACCTGTTCGTAAAGGAAAGTAGCCTTCCAAGGGACTATTTTCCACTTCCATGTTAGTGAGTCAGAGTGTATCATGTTTTGTTCTCTTCCTTTCACACAAGTTCAAGAGGATAAATAGTGGAGACGCTTCCATGGCAAGCACTTGGGTTAGTAAGATGGGAGCATCGGGTAGGGTAGATAGGGTTTAAACCAAATCATTAGTGCGAGCGCTTCTTGAAGGAAGCGTGAGCTATCCTGCGTCCATATGTAGTAGCTACCTTGCTACTACTAGCTACCTACCTCTAGCTACCTCACCTCCTAGCGGCCCACCCCCCTTTAAAAAAGAGGACCGGTGGAAATCGACCTGATCTTCGCGGTTGATTAATCTTTCCGGCCCCGAAAGGATCAAACTCCCCCGGCTCCTTAATGCCAGGAGCTACTAGTAGCATCCTTGCTCCTAGTAGCGATGCCCTTGTTACTAGTAGCTTCTTGCTCCCAGTAGTAATGCCAGGAGCTATTTTTTGGTTTGCTTTTGCTTGCTGGTGATGCTGCTTTGCTCCTCATTATCGTCTTGTCGTGTTTTGCCAAGCGCAATAACCATCCAGATCTTCGCGACGTTGTTTAAACGCGGCCCGGTTCCACCCAAACACCGGCAAACTTTTATCTCAGTTTTCGTCCGCAGCAGCCCTTCCCCCCTACATACATACCTTTCGTCCAGCTCTCTTTTTCTCAAGTTCCGGGGCTTGGTCATTGGGCTTTTGACAGCCGAGGTCTCCAATCTCCGTGGCTTTTGCTAGCACTACTTGCCCTGAGCTGGCTAGATGCCTGGCCAGAGAGTGGCTTCATTTGAAACGTGACGACTGGACTGTTCTCACACCCCTGCCCTTGGGCTGAAATTCACCCGGTTGCAGCTGCAAGCCGGGTGCCAGATTGTACTAGCAGCACCGCACTGCCGTTAAAGCATGGCTCATGATGTAACCTGCACTTGTTTGGACACAGTTGCGGTCAATGTTACTTGCTTTGTGACCGTGCTTCATAGTCTGCCCGTGAAGAGTTTGGCGGCTGAAGGCAGTCTTCAGCCTCGTAAATCACAAAAGTATGCAATGGTTAAGTCTGGCATGCACAGAGTCGTGTGATTTGCAGACAAGTCTTTGTAACACCTTGGGGAAGCCTAAGCCTGTAGCCTCGTTGCCGTGAACATGGTCTGCACATGTCTGCACGAAGCCACTTCCAGATCCAAACAGATTCTGGTGGCAACTCAACGCACATCAAGCCACATTACTGAACTAGACCATCACAAGTACTTGACATGGCATCGCCTTTGCCCTTTGCTCATCCTGCTGACTTGGTGCGCGCGGATCAGAAGGTGCACTTCAGATTTGGGAGCTCGGGCCAACCACCCTGGGTTACTACTAGGAGCAAGGACGCTACTAGGGGCTCCTGGCATCGCTACTAGGAGCAAGGACGCTACTAGTAGTGCTCTTGGCATTTTTTTTCCAGCACCCTGGGTCACCAAGTCTGCGTCCACCGGCATGTCGTGAGCAGACTGTAACTGTAGCGCGCGAAGGACGATCATTGCAGAGCTGAGTTGCGCACCTTGCTTCTGGAGACCTCCGAGGTGCACTAGCTGCAATGCAGTGCATTCGATTTGTCACGACATCGCAGCCTTCACCCGTGTGAGGAGTTGCTAGGAGGCCATGCTGCTCGCTGGCAAGGGGCATTGCAGGTTTTGGGTGATGCCAGCTATGCCTGGGCCACAGCCGCAGCTTGGCTCGGTCAGCTACTCTACCTCAAGGTGTGTTTTCTTGAGTTCATTTTCTGAACATTGCCGTGTTCTGCAATCCTAGGCTGCCGGAAGTAGCCTCGGGGAGGAGTACAGCGAGTTGCTTTTGGTCGAAAACCTTCGCCCAGCAGGTCGATTTCGACGCCTTCTGGCTGCCGCGCTTAACGCAGTCTTGGTGAATGGAAACTGGGGCGAGTGGCTCATGCTGTTCTTGCGACTGCATTTGGCGTGCCTTGGCAAAAGTCAGTAAGGGCAGCTTGGTTATACTCGCGTGGTGTTTGCCTTCGTCCGTATTGAGATCAATGGAGAATCTACGGCTTTGGGGCATTTCGTATGCTTGCCGGGAGAGCGCTGCCTCCACAAATGCAGTTTTCACACATTTTTCTGTAGTTCTCACACTGGATGCCAACCCAATGATGCTTCGGCATGATCATGATCTTTGGGAAAAATTACTCTGCGCCAGTGATTCCTTCATGCGCATGGTAAGGCTTTGCAGAGCCAGTGATGCCAGGTAGTGAGTCTTCTTTACAAGCGTGTTTGGCTTGGTAGATGTCTGGAGTGCAGTCGAACCCCTGAATTGCAGTCGAGCCTCCAAATTTGTGTTGCGTGGCGTGTCGCGATGCATTGCAGGCCGTCGGTCCGCCTTACAATACAATGGATGGAAAACAAGCGAAAGAGATACAAAGTTAAATGACTGCAGCTTTCACCCACAGCCTCCAGTCATAAACCTACCAAATTTAGACTGGATTATTGTAATTCTACTTGTTCTCCGCTACCTTAGTGCTTCCAATTGATAATTATTCATTTTAGGATTAGTGTTCGGGAACTATTAGTACAGTATATAACAATTCTTTTTTGATGTATACAGTATACAATAGTATACATAGGTATACAGTAACTTTGTAGCATTCATATTAGGAGAAAGATTATGTTTATTTGGTAGCCGAAACCACTGAGAGAAATGAGCTGAAAAATTCAATATTTTGTTAGCCTATGTTAGCCTTATGTCTTTTCAATTGTTTTACCGCTGCAGCTGGGACTAGATTTCTAGGCCACTCACTAGGTCAGGGAGCAAGTATGAACATGGAAGTCAAGTGGGGTGCGCTTCCTGTCAAGGAAGAGGTTTGCTGATTGATGTTTTTTGGGCAGACTCTTGCGTGCTTTTTCCAGGGCCTGTGGAACTGAAAGCTAATGGCGTGTAGTTGTACCAGTGAATCAAGCCAATGCAACAGAATCAAAGCGTCCTCAGAATCAACCCATACAAAACTCACAGAGTCAACATAGACATTTCCTGGTTTTTCGCTACTTCGCGGCCTTTGGACAAAGAGAGGTGGCCTTGGATGTCAGATCAGACTCCCAGATGTACTGTGAGTTGTGCGCCCTACCCTTGTAAGTAGTGCAATATAGTGCGCCGTGGCCAACTTGAGCCGTTGCCTTTCTTTTGGAATGCAGAACTGCCCCACATAATTGTACAGGGCTGGCACAGATCTCAGCGTCAATCCGAGGCTTTTCTATCTCTTTGGTCGCTACCGGCATTTGCCCGAGAGGCTGCTCAACTTGAGAGCTGTAAGCTTGGCAGAGCGGCCATACAGGAGCTTCAGCTACCGGCCATTGGGATTTGTGGCCTGGTGCATGTTGCAGATTGATGAGCCATAGCATGTTTGCAGGCCGGCTTTCCGCTTTTGTTACTTGATGTGGAACTTGCGAGGTGTTGCTGGCACAAGCCATTGGCCAGCTGCTGGCAAAGATCCTGCAGCGAAGGCAAAGGACCCCCTTGTTCAAGCTTGACAGACTTTTGAGTTTTTCATATGTATGTAAAAGCATGTTTTTCGTTGTTTTTGTTCCTGGCACTAGTAGCGATCAAACCCAAGCCGCCCTTTTATTCGCGTTCATTTATCTCTCTTTGCCTATATCTATCTTTTCCGTTTGATCGGCTGGAGTCCTTGAGCAGGAACTCCTTTACTCTGGTTTCTGTGTTTGCTTTATTTATTCGTTTTGCGTTGATTTGTTTGGCTCTTTCGATTGCCGCAGATGGTGCTAGATTAATTACTCAGTAAGGTGCTTGACAAATATTCAGCATTGGGATGAAGCCAGAAGAAAGGGGATACACAGCCAGATGTGAGATTCAGCGCCCTCATTCTTCCGAAGGTCAGGAGCTGATGTAGCCGACACGGAGACTTTGCAAGCTGCCATGGGCAACTGGGCCCCAGCACTTCCGCAGTCCCGGCTGAGCGCAGGACGGCCGCCGCGGTGCAACATTTGCCGCTTGGCTTTGATTCCATGTCAAGCAATTCAGATCATTTCTTGTATGACGAATTGAATGTGCTGCCAAAAGCTGCATTGCAACCCCTACGCCTACGCCCTCCTACACACTGAAGCTTATGGCTTATTCATGTCAGTGGTTGGGCATCGGTCGCCCGCTTGAGCACCATCCACTTCGGGGCTAGTCCATTTAGCGGGTTTCGACTTCCATGACTATTTTCCCGGACCATCATTACTGATTTAGCTGGCAATAAAATCAGCCGAGTTGGGCACCCATGATATCCGAATGTCACTTCAAGCCTAATCCAGGTGAAGGGTACAAATTCTGAACATTGCTTAACTGATCCATTCATGAGCTCAGCAGTTGTCAGGCATGGGGCCTGCTGAGAGTGTTACGGCAACTCTTTGTGGCCATCTTTTTTGCTGGGATTGCATTGCCAGCTGGTGCCGGAGCCGAAAGGAATGAGTGCAGTGCAGGGTTGTTTCGCAAGTTGGCCGGTGCTGGAGACATTGGGATGTGATCCAAAGCTTGCCAATGCACATGTATAGAAGTATCCTCCGTGTCACGTGCATAAAATCGTACCTGAATGTGACCTGCCCAAGGTGCGCCATGAAGGCATCTTGCCCCCTTTGCCGTGCTTCAAGCCCCCCGCAGAAACTCCTACCGCTGCTGCACTATTCTTCAATTTGATGCCGTTGCGGAAAGAAAAACGTTTTGCAGCACAGCTTTCTGACTTGCGCGGGTCATGGGTTCATGAGCGCCAGTCACAGCATTTGCCTAGCAAGAACTGCTTGGTTGGAAGACACCAGGTCACTTGGTCACTAGGCCGAGAAGATCAGAGTTTGGAAATGCTTTTTACGATTCAGCGCCCAGTAAGAACCCCTAAGGGATCACACGCTTGATACTTTTTGTCCCCAACCCTTGTAACTTTGAACCCTTGTAACTTTGCCTTAAACAGTCTACTGTGCAATGCGTCTATTGTGCAATGCAGCTTTTGACTTGCCACCAGAATCACCCACGGACAGGCTTTTGAGCGGCTTATTGACCCCTTCGTCAGTGGCGAACGGGCACTCAGCAGATGAATCGCAGCACTGTTAGGGTCCCACATGTTCAGCTGGCGTGCTGCATGGAGAGCACCCAGAAGCGACCCATCTACTGAGGTCTATGCGGGCGACCCATCTACGCTCTCTGCATCAGCTGCTACCGGCCGTGTCCAGGCAGTTAAGAGACGGACACATGCAGTCGTGTGCTAAAGCAAATTTGTTTTTGCATCCAGGTGCTGGAGAAAAATGCGGGCTCTTTGGTGGCGGAGAGCTAAGCCTTGGCTCACGAAGGATCATGCGGGCCTCCCCAAAACTTAATAGTTATAAATTATACAGGTCAAGGTGAAACATCTGAGTTGCTAGGCCATGATGACAATCATGACACTTATTTGGCAATTATTTTTAGTATATTCTATGCAGAGAACTTGGAGCAACTTTGCTAGTTTCTCCTGAAAATTCTCAGGCTGGGGCGATCCAGCTCTTTCAGGATCGGGTCCTTGGGGGAGTCCAAGCATAGTTATTTTTTCCAACAGAGTCAGTAGTCTTTTAGGTTGGCACTTTAAATGCGGCACCTGTCAGGCAGCTCTTGAAGCAAAACCGTGCCAGGACCGTGCGTCCAAACCCTCTGAGCCTCGTGACCCACGCCTGCCCGAGGTGAAAGGTTGGCCCTTGGACGCAGGGCTTACTAGCATGAGGGAGTGGCTTATTTGCTAGATTGCTTGGAGCATCTTGAACCTTTGATCCATAATTTGGATCCAATTTTTGAATGGAGATGATGGTTTCTGTGCGGTGTGCCAAGGCCAGACCGTCGGATCGTTCAGAGAAGGGCTCAAGCAGTTCAGTGATGCTTTGCACCTTGGCATTTGCCCAGCTAGCAGGGGATAAAGCCTTACTACTAGGAACAAGGACGCTACTAGGGGCTCCAGGAACAAGGCCGCTACATTTGCCCAGCTAGCCGGGGATAAGGTGTTGTTGGCAACAGTTGGCAGGACCTTCAATTCAACATGTTTGCAAGCGACACTGTCCTGTCAGCGGCGACTTTTAGCCGCATTGACATTTTCCACGTCACAAGTCCTCAAGCAGCATCTCGGCACAAAGGTGCGCAGATGTGGAAAAGGCAGGAAACCCTGTTCGTCTCAATTGGAAACTGAAGAAGCTGGCATCTCGGCTCATTTGGTAACGGGCCCAGCGGGGTCACGTCGGATCTTTGAATATTTTTGATCGATGCTGGTGTGCAGATCAAAAAATGTCACCAAAACAATAGAAGTATAAAAGTGCATGCAACTGGCGGCGACGGCGCACGTGAAGAATGCAGCAATACTGCATGTTTCATGATTGCAGCACCCAATCTACGCGTTTGAATGCAGGTAATGCGTCACGTTTGACCTTCGTGCCATCCAAACCGTTGCACCCGAGGCTTATGACAAGCAAATCGGTGTGGGGCCCTCTCGTCTTATCCTACATTCACAGCATCTCACAGTTTGATACAGTTTGGCCAGAGCACAGCCAATGCAACGCAACACAACACCTCGATTCTCAATGTTGAGTGAGAGGGCTGAAACGCAGAGAGAGAGAGAAAGGGCAGTGGATGGATGGATGGATGGATGGACGGACGGACGGACGGACGGACGGATAGATAGATAGATAGATAGATAGATGCTGTAGATAGATAGGTATGAGAGAGAGAGATAACGTTCTGGCCAGGTCCATGTGTTGGATTATGACACCCCAGAAGGTGCCAAGCGTCTCCGAAGCAAAGCTTTGATTCTGACGGCGCCCAGCTACGTCACAGCGTCCCTTCTGAAGGAGGCACAGATCATCATATGTTTTTAAACTGTTTGCTCGCTTATTGAGAAGTGCTAATACCTGAAGCTGATGGCATACCAGCCTTGGCCACTCAAAAAATTCCTTGAAGCCCTCAGGTTTGTCCTGCAGCAGCTTCTGCCTTGGAAGGCATTCGATATCCGCGAGTAGCTGCAGTTACGGTAGCTTACTCGCACTTGGAACACCTACTCTTGGTCCTTTGGCCCTTCAGCTCGATGTGAAGAGCTTCAGGTGGAGTATCCCAAAAGCGCCTTGCTTGCATTTGTTGCGGCGGGGTATATAGCTGTTGCAAGGGAGACGTGGCAATTGCGAATGCATTTTACACAAACTGCGTGCAACGTCATTTATGTGCATTTACATTTTCTATAGTTGTTCGTCCTCAAATCACAGTGCTGCTTGGAGCCACTATGCATTTGCGGCACGGTCCAGGCGCCTTTAGAGAGCCTGATCATGGTGGGACACCCAGGGGGTGCCAAGTGGATCGCACCATGAGAGGTGTAAATTATAGATCAGCACAGCGCACATGATCTGGCACGTCATTTCAATACAGTCAACATAGATGCCCGTCCTGGCAGTGCACACTACTTTTGTCCATTGCTATTGAAGCTGTTCTGTTTCTTTCCCAGCCCCCTTAGACAAAACACACGCACATATACATATAGTTATATAACACAAAGTCAGCAAGTTTGATGTCAGGAAAAGGTATCGTCAATGGCTTCGGGCAGCTTCATCCAAGATCACAGGGCATCAGAACCTTAGGCACCGGGAATCGGCTGCAGCCACAAGCCAATGTGGGAATATTTGGGACACATATTCTGTGTGCTGCATGATTAGCACGATTTGCCAGGCACAATTTACTCATCATCTCTCTTTCCGCTCCTTGGCCACAAACCCTGAGTGATGGAGCAGCAGGAGCCGTTGGGCACGTGCCATTAAGGCTGGCTAAGTTTCAAGTCTAGCCCCTCAGGCTTTGAGTGCCTCCACAGACTCGGTACTTGAGGCACCTGATAGCCCCAAAGCATATGGTCTCCAACCTAATAATAGCTTTCTAAGTCCTCTCTAGATGACTGTAGCGATGGCCTCCAACCTAATACAGCCGAGGGCATAGCACACAGAATTCATCATACGGACACGCCCTGAGGAATCGCATGCCTGACGATGATAAAATCATGCTCCTCCACTATATAGGCAGGGGCCCACATGGAGACGCCCTTCCGAATGCCCAAAGATGTCCTATGAACCAACTGGAGCTGCCAAAGATGTCAAAGTAGTACTCGTAATAACTTGTCAGTATAGTAGCTTTGAAGCAACTCCATTAACCAGCATAAAATACTTATATAATTACATAGTTGGACAGAGGTAGTCAGGTAGTCGCTTCAAGTAGATTTTAAGGATAGGAACAAGGACACTACTAGGAACAAGTGCATCGCTACTAGTAACAAGGGCCTTACTACTAGTAACAAGAAGCTATTAGAAACAATAAGCTATTAGAAACAAGTGCATCGCTTCAAGTAACACTAGTGGTAAATGTTCGCTACTAGGAACAAGTGCATCGCTACTAGGAGCAAGTGCCTTACTAGTAATAACAA